AGAGCTATGTGTGATTTTAAAAATATTATATTTTTACACCGCAGTATCTTGAGACTCCTCTCTCTGTTGGTGTTAAGAAGATTTTATTTGTAGGAATGCCATCTCCTTCAATTATTTTTTGTGTACAGGAAACCTCTAATCTATTATTTTAGTTCAGTTAAACAGAGCATAAAATCTAACTCAATACAACATAAACCATCACAATAGAGCAATTTGTTAAGGCAAGTCATCTTCACGCTATGATAGTCCTGGAGAGAGAGGGACAAGGCAGGAATAGCATGCAGTGGGTTTTATCTGCCATGTTTTGCATTTCTCACTGCACAAGTTTCAGAGAAGCCTTTCATCCTCTTTTTACTCCTTTTCACTGTGGTGGCTAATGGTAGCACTTACTGCCCACACCCTCTCCTGTACCATTTACGATTTCTAAGCTGTGCAGGACTCCAATCAAAATTTATGGTCCAGGAGTGCTAGTGGGGCTTTGCTGCTGGTGTGGTTCTGCAACCTGATGTATTTACAATGCTTAAATGCAAGTGTTTACTGCCTCTGTACATCCCTTAAGCTGTTCTCTCTGAGGAAACCCCCAAGAGGTCTTTAGGACGCATTGGTCACAACTGAAGGTTTTTGAAAACACAATTTCCACTGCCCTTTATGGGGACAGTGCCTTTTACAACTATTTCTGGCAGAATGCCCCTCTGTGCCCAACAGAGCCTGGTGAAATTGATGAGCTGTGGCTGAAATCCTTCTTTTATCACAATGGGGATCTCCAAGTTTGAGGTTAGACTTAAAGCATTAGAGAAAACAATACCAAAACATTCCAAAGCCAATTAATTTTGCCTATGTTGGGATTTAAAAGACATTAAAAGGTCTGTGTCTCCTACAACCAAAGCTTGATAGGCGTGATCCATTTGCTTTTAACAGTCAGTCTGGCTTTACAGAAAAGTATGCTAACCATTAAATGGAACTGGAGAGAGTGAAAAAAGGGAAAAGAGGAAAAATCTCACACACTTTGAGCTACCAAAGGCTTTAATTCACTACTTCTGAGAATAATCTAATATTTCCAATACACCAGTCTTCAGTGATTTTTAAGATATTTTCTAATATGACAGAATTTTCTAATATTTCAGGGCCCAGCCTCCTACTTTTGTGGAGCCTGAGCTCTGGGGACAGCTTTCTTCAACTGCTGAATGTTGCTACCTTACTCAGTTTAAGCTATACTTTTGTCTTGAATCTTCATCCCTTTTTAAAGAGTTTTTAAATAATTTGTGTATTTGTCTACTTAAGCTCTATGCAAATTTTGTGATTTTATACTTTACTTATTTAGTTAATACAGAAAAAAAGCAATAGAAGAGCACATTTTCTACAATTCCCAATGCATTGGTTATCTTGCTCAACACACCTCTAAGGTGAAAACTCACTTCCTTTGTGCAGCAGTCCCTGCAAAAGTGTCTCAGTTGAAGTAGCAAATGCCTTTTGTCACCAAGGATGTGATTCATTTTACATAAATTATTGCTCACAAAGTTAGGTGTCAAAATATCATGGCTGGTCATGTAGACTTTATCTGAAGCAATTGGAGAGAAAGAGGCATCTCTCCAGATTGCAAAGAGACCTTTAACTGAAGACTTCACAGAGGAAAATATTTATAAATTCATGAGATGGTTCATTCCACCTACTTCACATACTAATTTTATTGTAGATGAAAGGACTGCTGAAGGGTTGTTTTTGTGGGCTTTTGGTCTCTCTCTCGCTCTCTCTGTCCATTCCTAATTCTGAAACAGCTAGAGTTATATGAAGTGAGACAAATAAAAATGGTAAAATATTTTTCTATTCTGCTTCATGAGAAACTCTCACAAGTGGTTGCTTGGAAGCTGATTACTAACTGATGTAGTTCATAGGAGCAAGAAAAAGTAACAAATGATGTCAATAGACAAAGAAACAGAAATCTGTTTTCCTGCATTCTATGTCAGAGTATTCTCAGATGTGAGTGGTAACAAAATATGTATGAAAAAGGGAAAATTCAGACAGAGCAGAGGGAATAAATCTTTAGCTATGGTAATGCTCAGAATTAGTTTTTGAAAAAGTATTTGGTACCCAGTGGCTTATATTTTTCCTACCAGCCTTGTACTGTGTTGAATCCTGTTCTCAGTGCCCAGGGTGTTGACTTGGGTGCAGTGTCCGCAGCTCTGACGTGGCATGGCTGAAGGTCTGGGCTATGGGTCTGCCATCCACCACTCATGTACAGATCCTGGAGAAGCAACTTGGAAAAGCAGGGTCATGGTCAGTAAGACCTGTATGTTGGTCAAGGGGTAGCATCCTGGCTATGGGGAGGACAGGGGAACGGTGTAAGGTTCTCTGGACTGATAGCTGCAACTAGGATTTCAAGTCATATTGTGACTTGCCAGGCAAAGTGAGAGCCTTATCTGCTCCTAGGTTGGACCAGATAACTTTAATGGAAAACTCAGACATACAGATGAGAGTAATTCTATGTAAAGAAAAATACCCTGGTATTACTCATAAGTAAAAGCTTATGTTGATAGTGCAGCAAAAACACGGAAGATCAGCATTTTGCTGAGCACCAAATCCTCGTGAAAACCTTAAAAGCACAGCACAAGATTTTTCAAAAGGTTCTTAATTCCACGGGATTTTTGAGCCTGAGGCATTCCTAAAAGCCCTGTTTATAATTATCAAAACATCATATACCATATTCTGAATTCTGAGGGAAAATGCTAGTGTCTATGGTTTCAGCATAACCCATTGTATTTTACACTGTCGGACATATTCATTTAGTAGCTAAATTTAAATTTTTTAGTAGGCTCCTTGTCTTTCTGAAAATATATATTCTTAAAAATTTGTTCCAGCACCCAGAACAAACGCAGTAAACTGTAGGAACAATATATTACGAAAAGAACAGGGCACGTGACCTAACAAACAGTGAATACAATCTCATATCAAAGGCCTATTTCACTGTGCAGTGCTACCTGTGCTAAAAGAGTCTGGGCAAAGAGTTTCAGATACCACAGGCTTTGGAATCTTAATCAGACAGATAATTTTTCCAGAAAAATATAAAATAAAATTTTAGTGACATTTTGGATGAAAGGTTATGCTTCATGTATTCAGTTTGCCCAGATTCTGGAAGCCAAGTTCTCCAACATCAGAAGTGGGTCCCTGAAGTCCACAAAAATATATTCATGTGTCTTGAATGGAACCACGTCCCATTTACAAAACAAATTAATTCTCTTGACATATAATTTTGTCATTAGTTGATTGAAGACACTTTATTTTATGATTGGGTAACACGTAAAAGAACTGGATCAGGTTCATCCTAGACATTTCACTTAATTATTAATTATTTTGGTACTAAGTTCTTAAACATTTGCATAGCCTCTCAGACATGAAGAAATACATTCAGATTTTGAAACAGAAAATTGCTTAGAACTGAGTAACACCTTTTTTATTGCAGCTAAGTTAGTGGGACTCTTTAAAGTGTTAAAAATCTTTTGTTTTTTATTATTTCATTTCGGACTGGCTTCAATATACTTTCTTTCTCAGGAAAGCATTGAACTATAATTTTCCAATGGGAAATAAATAAATAAATAAATAAATAAATATATATATATATATATATATATATATATATATATCACCACCAGTTTCTTAAACAGCCCCATGAAAAATACCCAGGCCAATAGCTTCTGCTGTTCACCATAACCATGGCCTAGTACACAGTGCCATTTAAGATTAAATCAATACAGTGAGACATTTGATCAGCAGGTGTGAACCAGCACAATCTCCCTGAAGCCAACAGAGCTATGTTGATTCAGGCTTGCTGAGCATGTTCATGTAACTGATTTCTCAGTTTTTCCATGATCCTTTACTAGGATCCTTCTGATGGTTAATGTGAATGATGCTTCCCTAGATAGGTTTTCAAGATGGTCGTATTGGAAGACAGCTAGCAAATTCTTTGATATGAGATCTACTATAAAATCCTACATGGACTGAACAACCCACATAATGGGTCAGGCCAAAGACCCACCTCACAGTCTTCTGTCTACAGCAACAATTATCAGCAGATTCCTTTAGATGAGAGCAAAGATGGTCCTTCAACAGAGGATTGCTTCTTTCTTGGACCTCCATGAAAACTACCCAAAGGCTTTTCCTATGCTTTCGAAATATTAAATATATTATGTTAAATTGTATGTTAAATATAATGTTAAAATAATGTTTAAAGTATTTTTATTATAATGTTTAAAAATGATTATGTATAAAACACTAAGAATTGAAAAAAAAATGCAGACAGAAAGTGTATCTGCTGTTTGTCTTTGTTTCTTTTCTGTTAAAAGGCTGGGGCCTGGCAGCAGTGGGAAAAGTTGTCTGCCAGCGCTGAAAGCTGGAGCCACTGGAAAATGGAGGGGACCTTCTCCCTTGGAAATAACCAAAGATTTGTAGCTGCTGGGACCTTCTGGAGAACAAGGCAGACAAAGCAGACAGAGGACAGGGAACTTGCAACACCACCAGATATATGGCAAGCTCTGCAATGAGCAGAGGAAAGCCCAGGCCTCAGAAGCATGCCTCTGGCTTTGAAGGAAAGCCAGTTCCCGTGAGAGATCCAAAGAAAACTATGCAGTTCAATCACAAAATAATTAAGAATTTAATTCAGAGTAATTTTTGCAGAGAAATTAAGAATGACATCACCTACCTCTGAAGCAGTTCCATCTATAGTTGGGAATGAAATGTGATCTAAAATAGCTTTAAAATAAAAAGGTATTAAAAAAAAAAAAAAAAAAAAGTAAGATGCTTTAAAGTAAAATTGTGAAAACTAAGAAAGTATTAACCTAACAGAACTTGGCAACCTCTCCTAGTCTAATGAAACATAATAACCTCTGCTGTTACAATAATTGGTTTATCTTGTCAATGAAGGAATGAAGGAGCACTGAAATAGCCTTGTTTAACAGAATGTGAAATGTGTATGGAGGCAATTTCCTTGAATGTATGGATATCAAATTAAATAATTTTTTTTTTAAAAAAAAGAAGATTAAAAAAATTTAAAAAAAAGAGAGAGAGAGAGAGAGAGATCATTCGGATCGTTCAGAGTAAGTTGGAGATGATAAGCCAGAAAATAGCAAATTTTATTCATCAAGAGACTTTGGAAGACCATGATTTTTTACGAAATTCTACATTATTCTACTGCACAAGTATTGTCTGTATGGAAAGGCACAGAATTTTTCATCAAGTCAATGTTTTTACACTCCATGTTTTTACACTCCAAATTTTTTTAAATTCCATTCTTCATGGCAGCAGGCACCATGCCAGTGGCTGACTGGGTCTTCAGTAACTGCATCAGATTCAAGTAGTGAGGCACCCTCCAGCATTCCTCAAAAAGCAGGGCAGATTCATTATTCAGGATTCTTCAATGACTTTATATTTTCATTTCATTTTTAGCTTTCAGTTTTTAAATCTGATTCAGTTTTACTGACAAATTTTCATTAATTTGGGAATTATCAATTTTCACTTGTTTGTTTGAAGGGTACAGCCATCTTGTACTTCAGTTTAGATGGGTTTCCAGTTTCACCAGTTTGGACCTTTCCATTTCCATCTAATGTATCAGAATGCATTCAATGAGTAGCAGAATAAAATAAATTTAAACTTCTAGTTTAAGCTATTTAAAAATGAGCTTTACTGGGATTAATTACATTAGCATCACAGACACATGGCAGGGTAATTCTGCCTTGCCTGTGGCAATACAAATTTCACATCTCATCAGTTCGCTCCCAAAAGCAGCTTTGTGCTAGGAAGTGACCAGCTTGAAACCTTCAGGTCTGTTTCTTATTACTTCAGGAGTCCATCAGGAAGATCAGCCAGGATACTTTTGTTCATATTAATTCTAATAATTACTTTGTTTCTGCTCCAAGCAATCCCTAGAAGCGGGTGTGATCCAGCCTATTGTTTTTATACAAGCTGAATCACAGATGCCATGATAAAAGAAAGATCCTTCATTCTCTCCTAACACTTATTTTGGGTAGCTTTTCCCTCATTTTCACTTACCTTACTGGACAACCAATAATGGACAGCTTAGTGAAATGAATGAATGAACAAAGACGTGAATCTCCCTTCGTACTGTTAACATGTCTTTGCACCGATTATTTGACAAAGCAGCAGCATCTGCAATACAGAAATTGGTTGTTTACCTCTTAGCCACCTTTCAGGATGATTAATTATACAGTGTTTGAGGGAGAGGCACAGAGGGTACTTGGGTTAAAAGATAACCTACCCTTGGGGATGGTGTGGCTGAACATAGCAAAAACAGCCAAATTAATGCAGACTTCTCCTTGAGAAGTATGCCATTGTACTGAAGAGGGACATTAAATATTGTGGCCTGGGATTCCTGCTTTGGCAAAGAACGAGTAAGAAATTGACATCCTCAGCTGGTGGAAAATGTCACACCACCACTTTCTCCCTCCCAACCCCATCTCTACCCCCTTCTTCTTGTTATGCAACTTAGTTGTTTTTTGTTTTTGTTTTTTTTTTTCCAGCATCTCCTACATTTTGCAATTCCCTGTACATGCTATAAAAATAATTTTCTTGATTCCTTCAAAGAAGCTTAAAGCTTTTTTTTTTTTTTCTTTTTTTTCCAAAAGTTAGCAAACAGTTAATCTCAGTATCGACCTAAAATCCATGTTGGCCTTTCTTCATTTTAAAATTGTTGAGTATGCAGTTTAATTGTTATACAGTTTCAATACATTTTGTAAAAATAGTAAGATGTCTTTATAAAGGACTGTTAAAGAAAGTGAATCTTTCATTCCTCTACAACCACAACCCGCATAAATGATGGGTAAAACGGCATGTTGAGTAGTGAGGTAACAGTATATGTGAGTTCGTTGAGTTCCTTCAGGACTCTTAGATGAAGAGTATCTGGCACTAACAACTTGTTTCTTACTAATCATTTTATCCGTTTCTTTTAGAATTTCTTCTAAATTGACAGGACAATTTCACAGAATCACAGAACTGTTGAGGTAGGAAGGGACTTCTGGATCCATCTGGTCCAACCCCTGCTCAAGCAAGGACATCCAGAGCAGGCTGCCCAGGACCACATCCAGGCAGCTTATAGAAATCCCCAAGGAGGAGACCCCACAGCCCCTCTGGGCAGCCTGTGCCAGGGCTCCGTCACCCGCCCAGCACAGCAGTGCTGCCTGGTGCTCAGAGGGAGCCTCCCTGGGTGCCTGGCTGTGCCCATGGCCTCCTGTCCTGGAACTGGGCACCACTGGGCAGAGTCTGGCTCTGTCCTCTCTGCACCCTCCCTTCAGGGATTTACAGACAAGGATGAGATCCCCCTGAGCCTCCTCTTCTCCAGGCTGAGCAGCCCCAGCTATCTCACAGGAGAGATGCTCCAGTCCTTTCATCATCTTGGTGGCCCTCCACTGGACTTTTCCCAGTACGTCAATGTCTCTTGAACATTTGAGTTGTATGTAATCCCCTGTAGGAAAATAAAATAAAAAAATCAGTGTGAGAGCTTCCCTTATCCTTTCTGGAATGAATACTGATTTAAATAATTTAGTTTTGTATTGCGGTATCCTCTCCAGTATTACTTTTACACCTCAGTACTCTTATAACCCAATACTCATCTTGGCAGACATCCTGCTTCTGAAGTGTTCAGAACATTTATTTTTTTATTACTTTTTATTATTATTATTATTTTTATGCCTTAAGTGAGTAGTTCATCTAAATTGCTTTTGGCCTGCCCTGTTATGGTTTTACATTTCATTCATCCATTTATTCTGTGAACTGCTTTGTTTTCCATTGACTTACCCCTGAACTTTTTGATAGCTTATGAAGCAGCAGTAAAACTGAAGGACTTGTAGGTCATTTCTATATGGAGCACAAGGTGGAAAGAATAGAGTGGCGTTACGTTCTGTGATTTATATACTTTGCTTAGAATGATGAACATGTAACTAACCCAACACTCTTTTGTTAAGAGACAGAAGCACAGTATAATTTAGGCTGAAGTGCACCTTGGGAGATCCCCAATAGCAGGATCACCTCTGAGATCAGACCAGGTTGTTCAGCTTTTTATCCAGCCAGGTTTCCAAAATCTTCAAGGGTGGTGACTGCACAGCTTCTCTAGACAACCTGTGCCACTGCCTGACTGTCCTCATGGTGAAAGTATTTCTCCCTATACAATCGTAACAACCCTTATCCTTCATCACAAACCTCTCTCTCCTCAGGTCTGAACAAAGTGGGTTCCTTAAGCACCCTAGTGGCCTCCACTGAACTGCCTCAAGTTTTTCATTGTCTACCTTGTATTGGAGGACTCAGAACAGTCCAGTCTTTCTTGGGCTAAGCATTCCTGTGTTTCCCCTGCAAGCTGCTGGCTTCCACCACTCCCTCTCAACAGTAAGCCATAATTTTTAGTGTCTGAATGCAGTTCCATTTCTCCCACTGCAGATTCTAAGTATCCCACAGCCTTAGCCAAAAATGGGATCTGTGAAATAGATCTGTGCCTAGGTCAGGGAAGCTAGGAGTGTGCCCTTATTACTGTGTACACATTCCCATTCCCTAGCAGTGAGCATCTGGCACTCTTGCATGCTGATTTCTACAGAAAAGAGCAAGGAACCTGGATGTTGGGTTGCCATACGGTGTAGGTGCAATCCATATGATGTGAAGGGGAGTGGGGACTGTAATTCACAATCCCTGTTTGCAGATGCTGAAAGTACAACTCCAAAAGGTCTAATGAATCAGTCAAAACAGGATGTTAGCTTCTTATTAATATCCTTGTACTGCTTTGAGAGGCAACCATGTCATTGTTTCCTGCTTTTATTTAAAAAATTTAATCATGGGTACCTAACTTTAATGTGTGACTACCAGAAATGAAGTACCTTCCCTTGACAATCCTACTGATGTGTTTGTGTTTCCCTTTTATTATCAAAGGCACAAAAACAATTAACACATTTACTTAGGGTCTTACTTGTTCCTGCTGATCATACTTCATGGAATTCTGACAACAAAGGGAATTATTTGTGTGAGAAGATGTTTCTTTAGTGCAAATGTCTTTATCAACAACAAATTATATCATTTAACCTCTCATGCCAAAAGGAAAAGTGTAATCTCTCTTCCTCAGGCAGAACCTGGGGAGGATGGTGCTTCAGGAAGCCCTGTGAAGTAAACCCCAGAGCAAGTCCTTGAGGGAAAAGCTTCTTCAACCTCTACAAAGAGGAGAAAGAAAAAAATAGAAGCAAAAAGCTGGAAAAGAAGAGATGGTCTCATAAAGGTGACACTGGAACATAATTTGCCAGCATCTGTTTTCATTTAAACTCCACTGAGAAAGTAACAGATCACACAAATCTTTATGATAGGTTTGACTTTGACTCCTTCGTATCCCTCTGTGTCTCATCCCCTCTTTGTCTTTTCTGAAGACTATTTCCCAACATCAGTGTAACCATAGGTGAAATTTTCCTTCAGAGGACGTTGGCTAGATGTCCCAATGTGTCATCACTCATGTTCAAGGTGATGAACAAAAAATGTTTCTGAATGGAGGAAAACCAGGAGTGCTTTTACAAGGGACATTTCATGTTTTCCCAAGGCCTGACACAGTTCCTTCCAATGGAGAGAGCTCACAGTGAAACAATTTCAAGTACAAGTATCTACTCTTGAGTACACCTTGAAAATGCTGAAATTGGAGTAAATATAGGCTGGCTTTTGACTTCTTGTTTTCTGACATTTTCTTTGACATACAGTCTTCTCATGATTTGCAGAAATTATTTTTATAGATGCTAAATATTAGTGAGATACACAAATTGTATACCTAATTAAAGTGCTGTCTTCACAGTATAAGTGAGGTATTTGTTATTTTGTTAGAAATGTGCTGGATTCCAAGCACACTTTTAAATTCTAGTTACTAAGTTCTCTTAGTTTTGATATGGAATTTTGTAATGAAAATCACAAAGAAAAAAATCACTGTGAAAAAATAAATTAAAAAATTGAGTGGGCAGGGGGGTAACAGTAGATTATATTGGGATTTTCACTCATCCCATCCTTAGTACCCAAAAGATGGAAGCATCACTTCAGAAACCTGCATACAAAAACTGGAAGGCTCAGTATTTTTGCACTCGTCTCACTAAAAGGTGTTTCCTGTTCTCAAGTCACAGTGTTCCTGATACCAGTAGCTTACATGCCTCCTCCCTGTTTCCAGCTATTGCACTGCAATTACAGAATCACAGAAGAGCTGAGGTTGGAAAGCACCTCATACTCAAAGCAAGGACATCCAGAGCAGGTTATCAAAGACCAGCTCGAAGTGGCTTTTGAAAGTCTCCAAGGAGGGAGACTCCAGAACCCCATAACCTCTGGACAATCTCTGCCAGTGGCTGTTCACCTTTAAGTGTAAAAAAAAAATAAAAAAATAAAAAGTATATAAAAAAATAAAAGTTTTTTATGATGTTAAATTAATTTCTATGCATTTCATTTTGTGTCCATTGCCACTTTTTCTTTCCCTGGGCACCAATGAGAAAAGCCTAGTTCCACCTGTCCCTCATCAGAAGCTGCTCAAGACTTCTTTTCTTTAGCCTGAACAGTCCCAGCTCCTGAAGCCTCTCCTCACATGTCTAGTTCCTTAGTGACCTTTATAGCCCTTCTCTGGACTCACTTCAGAGTGTGTCCATGTCTCTTTCTTGTACTTTGGAGCCCAGTGCTGGACCCAGAACTCCAGGTGTGCCTCACCAGGGCTGAGTAGAGGGGAAGGATCACCTCCCATGACCTGCTGGCAATGCTCTGTCTCATGCAGATAAGGAGGCTGTTGGTCTTCCATGCTGCAGGGGCAAATGTCTCCTCACTGTTCCTTCTTCCCATGTGGATGCTGAAGACCTGCAGAAATAGCCACAAAGAGGCCAAAGTGGACAGTCAGTGCCTTATCCACTCCCACAACCAAGGTGTCTTTCAGTACTGAGAAATTCACTTAGTGAAACACTTCTTTTTTATTTCTACAAAGAACTACATCACAACTAAGTATAAGCATTTTTTAAGACACAGCTGCTTATTCAGCAGTGCTGATAAGAAAATTTCCTTTGGAACAGGCTGTTGATGTAATGTTATGTATCCTATAAATTGTCTTTACCTTCCAAACCCCAACTTTGTTTGACTCTGTCTCTTACGAGGGTCTATGCCACAGTACCATCTAGTGGTAGGCGTTGATATGACCTTACCCATAACAAAAAAAAAAAAAAAAAAAAAAAAAAAAAAAAAAAAAAAGCCCTTAACTATTGACATTTCTTGGTAATCTCAGTAGAGAGATAATAGGAAACATCTTCTGCCTGGAAATAGTACCATGTGAGATAGTGTGAAAAGAACTCACCTTGTCAGTGAGTGAGATGAGTTAGAGAGCCATGACGATCAAATTACCTATCCAGTAGATTTCATAAGCACAATTACTAATTACTTTTCTTCAAGATGACCTGTTAAGATTCTTCTTTGCTGATCTGAAAAATATACACAAAATTAAGTCAATCTAACAGTAGATATAGATATGAGGAACAACTCTGAGATTCCTTGTCACAGGACAACCTGGGGGGCTTGCTTTCTCCTGAGATGAAAAGCCAGTAGCACTTCTGACATACTCATATTTAGAAACAGCTCTGTTAGAGAACTTATATACCTGATACTCATCTTAGGCATCTGGATATTGCTGTTTAGGTAACGTCCTTTACAGGATCATCAACTTAGAATGAATGACAGTATGTTTACACTGTGCTCAAATTATATGTGCTTTCAGTTAACTTATGTATTGAATGAGAACACGGATGGTTTTGATTACCAAAAGTATAATAGCAATGTAATGTAACACCACTTGAGTACACATTTTTTGTATTGACTAGACTCTTAAAATAGCATCTTCATACCTAGAGTGCCATTCTAGGATCAGACTGCAAAGCTTTCATGAAATTCTGCAGCAATTCCTTACATGTTATTGTGCTGAGGAGAGGAGAGGAGAGGAGAGGAGAGGAGAGGAGAGGAGAGGAGAGGAGAGGAGAGGAGAGGAGAGGAGAGGAGAGGAGAGGAGAGGAGAGGAGAGGAGAGGAGAGGAGAGGAGAGGAGAGGAGAGGAGAGGAGAGGAGAGGAGAGGAGAGGAGAGGAGAGGAGAGGAGAGGAGAGGAGAGGACAATTCATTGGTATTTAAATCTGTAACCTAGGAACTATTCCTCAGGCAAACTGCCGTCCATGCAAACAGTAGTCATTGTAAGGCATTATTTAAGGAATCTCCCTCCTTGGAGATCTTCAAAATCTGCCTGGACATGGTCCTGGGCAGCCTGCTCTGGGTGTCCCTGCTTGAGCAGGGGTGGGACCAGATGGACTCAGAGGTCCCTTCCAGCTTCACCATTCTGTGACTCAGTGATTGTCATGAAGCTGTTCAAATAAGTAACACAGATTTTATTCCTCTAAAACACATTAGTGAAAAGGCTTTCTATATCAAACCTACTGAAAGTGAAAAATAAAAGGTTCTGTTGCTTTTTAAGCATCTTACATAGAGGTCATGAGAATTAGAAACAAAAACCCCAGACTTTCAAGAGAGGCATTCCGTGAAGTACATCAGTTGAGTTCTGCTATAAGCAATTTCCGTGGCTAAAATGAAACGAGGACACAGGAAGCAGCGCTGAGCTGAGGCCTCACACACAGTAGTCCATGAGCTGAGGTGAAAAAGGATAAAACTGGCTGAGTTTCCAAGAAAGTTATTTACACATGATGAAGTCAAGCACAGTCATGATGTTGTACCCCTCAGAGGAGAATGTAGCTTAAGGACTCATAGAGGGTGAGCTTATTTTGTCAGCTGTGACTCAGACTTTGTCTTCAGACTCTTCTACACCTATTTTCTCTTTCACAGCTTTTGTTTTCAAATGATTACAAAATGTAAAAATTAAAAGGATTCAAATATAAATGTAAAACTTCACATAAGGATTTCTAGCCCTAATTAAGCCTGCATATTTTTAGTATGGCAACCAGTATTATGTATATTTTATGTAAACCCACTTTTGTTGCTGAAAGATGCTACATCAGTTTAAGAGGTCGTAAAATGATTTATAAGTGATCCTTTTGAGCATAGTTCATTTTTTTCCCTCCAGCTCTAATCATTATATTGCTGTTTTGGGAGAAATTGCTGCTCTTCTGAACACTGTTCTCTGAAAGCTGAAATAAGGAAATAGGAGGGAACAGCTATTTTGCATGATCGTTTCTATTTGTACTTGGCATAACTTACATAACTTCCCTTCCACAGCAGTTTTTAGATTTCAGTGAAAATCTAAAAATATTCTGGAAAAAAATCTTAAATCAACCTTAGCACTACAGCAATTTGAGGTATTCTATCATAACCATAGGTCACTCACTTGATAAAATTAGCATGCATGCCATTAACCAGGCAATCCACTCAATTACTTTTCTGTTTCTGAAACCTTTCACTGGGAGTTCAGTATCTAACGTTAAGACTTACAGGCTGTGAAAAGAATTACAAAAAGTAAGTATTTTTCATCTTTTGTAAACTACAGAGAATTTGAGAACAGCTAAAATGTGCTTCTTGTTTCTGAGAAGCAGTTTATCTCAAAGAACAACAAGAAAAAAAGACTAGAGTTTGACTCTTCAACAAATGTGCCTTCTGTTTGGGAACATAGCGTGCCCTGTGACAGTAGACTTGTTGTTAACTTGCTAAGTGCACCAAACAGCTTGTCTTCTGACAGATGACAGCACCAATACTTGACAAACACTTGACTGCTATGAAGTGTAAAAGGAGGAAACTGTTTCCTTTTAAATATAAGAGAAATAAATTTGTAATATATGTGTGTATTTTTAAAGCAATATTACAGCAGAATCTTCATTATTTTCACAGATTTTGTATTTACTCGATGAAGGCTTCTTCACTTTGCATTTTGTAACTTTGATTCCTAATGGTAACAATTTGCATTTACTTAAGATATGCCTCTATTTCAAGTCTTCAAAAGAGGGTGTTTGCAGAGCAGAAATTTGTGTTTTCTGAGATCTCTCTATTTTAGGCTTACAAGTTCCTTTACCCTTGAAACTGAAAAGCAGCAGGCTAGTGGGAACACTAGCGAGACCATTAAGGCTTTTCTGATGTTTTTATTTCTTATGTTTCCTGACTCATATTTCTGACTGGCCTGTGTTTCTGATCCAGGTGCACTTTGGCACTCATAAATATTCCACAGTTCTGTCTTTTACTACCAAAAATGCAATCCCTCTCACTTAGTAGCTATAGCTACCTAAAGTATCTTTCATTTAGACTACAACATTGTGTAGAAAGAAAGCACATCATACGATCTTTACAGAAAATAAATATCAAAGAACACTTGATAAATAATCTCTTTTTCCTCCTTAGGTCACCTGGGAGACATCCCAAACATCAGGATTATGTCTAGAGTACTGCAAATGAAATCAGTGAATTAGTCGAAATAGATATAAAACCTACTGCTTAATACACTGTAACTGTATGATCTTGAAAACATACAGGTCTAATTTATTTATTTTTTCTGTGATGATAATATCACTAAAAATTTACTAGATTTCAAGCTGCCAGACTATCTTGAGATTTACTTAACTCAGCATTTTGTCCTGTACTAAAAAATGACACATCAAAGAATGAAATAAAAAAGCATCTAATAAGAGAAAGTCTTTTCTACTTGTAACACCAGCCTGTCAAGATGAGCTCCCAAAGGACTTCTATCCAAATAAAAATAGAATTCAGGGATTTAGCCATAGCTAAACATTAGAATCATAGAATGGTTTGGGTTGGAAGGGAACTAACAAGCTAGAGCAGTAAGAAACAAAAAACAACCAACCAAACTAAACTAAATAAACCTTTCCCCCAATCCACCCTCTTCCACCTCCTCCCCCCAAGCAGCACATGGGAGCAGCACAGGAGAACGGCAATGGGGGCTGCGGTCAGTCCATGGCGCTTCGTCTCTGCTGCTTCCTCATGGTCCCTCTCTGCCCCTGCTCCCCATGGGGTCCCTCCCACAGGATGCCGTCCTTCCCGAACTGAGCCTGCGGGGGCTGCCCACAGGCTGCAGCTCTTCAGGAACTGTTCCCACATGGCTCTGTACCACAGGGTCCATCTCCCAGGAGCAAACTGCTCCAGCACGGGTCCCCCACGGGTGGGCGGCAGCTCCCCCCAGACCCCCTGCTCCTGTGTGGGCTCCTCTCCATGGGCTGCAGCTCTGGCCCGGGGCCTGCTCCTGCGGGGGCTCTCCATGGGCCGCAGCCTCCTCCAGGCCACATCCACCTGCTCCACCAGGGGCTCCTCCGCCCATGGGGGGCTGCAGTGTGGAGATCTGCTCCATGTGGGACCCATGGGCTGCAGGGGGACAGCCTGCTCCACCAGGGGCCTCTCCAAGGGCCGCAGGGGAACTTGTGCTGCCTTGTGCCTGGAGCACCTCCTGCCCTCCTGCTGCACTCACCTTGGGGGCTGCATGGATGGTTCTCACTCCTCACTCCCTCAGCTGCAGGTTTTTTTTCCCTTTCTTCAATCTGCTCTTTCAGAGGCTCATACATCATCACGTATTGGCTCAGCTCTAGCCAGCAGCAGGTCCCTTTGAAGCCAGCTGAAACTGGCCCTTATCTAACATCTACCAGCTGCTGGATTCTTCTCACAGAAGCCACCCTTGCCACCCTCCAGTAACAAAACCTTGCTACATGACCCAGCGCAACATCCACCCTCTAGTTTTTGTTCTCTTCCCCTTTACCAATACTGTAACCCCATAGTAGAAGGCCACCAGGCTTGCCAGGCACAATCTGCCTTTAGTGAAGCTACGTTGGCTGCCACCAGTCACCTCCTTATTTTTTGGTTCCTTGGCATGGTTTCCAGGAGGATCTGCACCGTGATCTTTCCAGGCACAGAGGTGGGACTGACTGGCCTGTAGTATCCGGGTTTTCCTTTTTTTTTTTTTTTTTTTCCACCTTTTAAACAGTGGGGGTTGTGTTTCCACTTTTTCCAGTCTGTTGAGAACTTCACTGGAGTGCCCCAACTTCTCGAATATGATGGACAGCAGTTTAGCAGCTTGTTGTGGTTTAACCCAGTAGGCAGCCCAGCACCACATAGCCACACTCCCTCCCCACCAGTGGGATGGGGGACAGAATTGGGAGGAAAAAAATAATAATAATAAAAGTAAAAGCTCATGGGTTGAGATAAAGACAGTTTAATAGTACAGAAAAAGAACTGGATGATGATGATGATGATGACAATAGGCTGTACAAAGCAAGGGATGCACAATGCAAATGCTTACCACCTGCTGGCCGATGCCCATCCTATCCCAGAGGAGTGGTCCTCCGCAGCCTGGCCAGCCACACTATATTAATTGTTTAGCATGATGCCATGTGGTATGGGGCATCCCTTTGGCCAGTTTGGGTCAGCTCCTGGCTGTGTCCCCTCCCAGCTCCCTGTGCACCCCCAAGTACCTCACTGGCAGGGCAGCACCAGGAGCTGAACAGTCCTTGGTTCTGTGTGGGCACTGCTCTGTAACGACTGAAACATCCCTGTGTCATCAGCATTATTCTCATATTAAATCCAAA